GTCCTGGCCGCCGGCAGCGCTTCCCCCTGGTTCTCCCCCGGCTGCAGGATGGCCGAAGGGGACAGCTTCCCTTTCAAAGTGCCCATGCGTTGCAGCTTGTCGGGAAATGCCAGGTTTGGTGCCCGGAGCTGAGATGCCACGTTTCCTGTCCAGGATGCCGCATGGGCCGTCAGATCTCCCATCTGTGGAGGGGAAAGGGGCAAAAGGGGGGGGCAATAAGAGAGAGAAAGACGGGGCATTAACAACATCCCCCCTCCGTTTCTCCTCTTTTTGGGACCACTTACATCAGCCAACTTGGCTCTTACAAAGCTGGGAATGACGGAAAGACTCCAGAAAGTACAGCCGAGTAACTAGTTACAAAGAACTAGTTACTTGCGATGAGATCGAATAACCATTCTGATGCCAATATCTTAATTTATTGCGCTTTTGAACATATATGTGTTCTAGTTGTGAATGCCTTGTGCCCATTCTTTAGGAGAAAGGTGGGATATATATATATATAAAGGAAAATAATAATGAAAACAACAATAACCATTATTATTATTCAGAAACACTAAGCACAGTCGATCAAAACATTGACTGGTATTTTAGAACAGATCCAAGTTTTAATCAAAACCCTAAGTATCTGTTAATTATTATAATTAGTATTACTACTACTAGAAAAAAATCAAGACACAGTCTTTGACTGGTATTGTATAATAAAGATACGTTCATAGGGTCACCATAATAATAAGAACCTCAGAACTGCAGAACTGGAAGGGACCCTATGGATCATCAGGTCCAACCCCAGCCAAGGAAGCCCGGGGAGGATTCGAACTCCCAACCACTGAGCTATCCAGCAGTTCTATTTCACCAAATTACCAAAACAGGCCTCAACATGCTGGAAGCACCTTTTGTGGCACATAACAACAACAGTGGGAAAAAATGAGAATAACATTTCCACGATTCGCCTAATGAAACATGCAAATTCCATGCGCCCCTACAGGAGGGGGGAAAAAAAAGACACAGATTTTATTGCCAGGCATCTGAACGCCACGATTAGGCAGAAAAGCCGGCGCGAAAGAAACGGCTTTCAATTAAGCAAGCTGCTTAACGAGTTGGCCTGCAGAATTGATGCCATCTGGGTTTTTTTAATTGGCAAAATGGGAGAGGCTCCAAATTTGGGCACTTACGGATTAGCATCTCTTTGCCTTGCATGATGAGATACAGCCGCGACACTGGGAGGGAGTGTGAATCGGAAATGCGAAAGGCAAATATTATCTGGGGGAATTTTCCTAGCCGTGGGGGTGAAGATACACAGGGGTCTTTTAGCACAATTTGCGATCTTAGCCTACGGTGCCACAACCCAGTGTGTCCGTCTGTGTGGATGAAAAGTGATTTTTTTAGAATCCAGGGAGAGTAGACAGCTCAACAGCTCCCCGTGGATACCTGTGATTCTTGGCTTTCACTGTATAAAACCCATTTATGCCCTACTCACTACTTTCTCCAATTCAGTGAAGCTACAAGCATCATCGATCGTGCGGGACACGTCACCGTGGGCTCAAGCAACAGGAAGCCAGACGGAGGCTGAAGATCAGGAAAAACTTCCTAACTGTTCGAGTGGTACGACAAGAGGTGGGAAGAGCTCCCAACGCTGGAGGCTTTCAAGAGAAAATGGGGCCGCCGCCTGTCCGATCTGTTTTGACCTGGATTTCTCCACTGAGCAAGGGGTCGGATCCGACGGTCTTGGAGGCCCAATGGCATGATTCTAGGATTCCGGTTCTAAGAAAACAAACTGCCTCCTCTTCCTCTAGGAGGCGCTTCTCTCATCAGGTCGACCTGATCAGAGGAAGTGGGATGATGGCTACTGTCTTCCCTACCAGTGACCACTTAGGGAGTCCAAGCGATAAAGACCCTTCCGTTGCCAAGGTCAAGCGTTTAGCACCCCTTCTCAAGCACTGTGTGCAGATGGACTTAGAGGATGAGGTGGGGAGATCTCCAGCATGCCAAGATCTGCATGTTCCCCCCCCTGTAATTTTGTCATGCTAATTAATAATAATCAATCATGTGCTGTCAAGTGGATTCCAACTTATGGGAACCCTTTCCCAAGGTTTTCCAGGAAGCGAACACATAGAAATGCTTGACCCTTCCCTTCCACTAGGGACGCTGTGGGACTGTGCAGCTTGCCCAGGGCCACCCAGGCTGGCTCTTTTCTCTGGAGCCACCGTAGGGAGGAATCGAACTCCCAATCTGAGACTCCACTGAGCTATCCAGCCAGTGTGCTGTTACCAGTCTGTAATCCAGACAATACAATAGGACCACAGGGGGATCGGTTCCTAGCCCCCTGCGGATGCTGAAAAACATGGATAATAGCAAACACTGTTTTAATAGCAAACGCTATATAGAGCATGGTCTCTGTCTCCCTCTAGTGGGCAGTTGTGGTAACTTTCTCTTCAGAAATATACATTTCTAGGCTTTTTTAAAAAAATATTTTCAGAGCATGGCTAAGTGAATCAGCGGATAATGATCCCGCGGATAGAGGGTACTACTGTACAATAAACTTCCCATTGCAACAGATATCTGTTTGCATCAGAATTCCAAGAACACAAGCTCATGAGGTTTGGGCTTGCTCCAAACCTCTGAAAGTGTGCTGCTAGGGTATAATAACTGGAAATACAATGAAACAGACGACCAAACCGATGGCATGCAAAGGCATTTTAAGATGTCGCGTCCTCACCTCGGCCCTCGTGCGCTGGGACAACACCCGCAGCCAGTTCCCGATCATGGTAAGGATGGAAGCAAAGTAAGCCAAGCCGAGCAGGATCCAGACCACCACCAGGGGCTGGTACCAGATATAGTCCTCACTTTTTGTATCACCTGGAAAGGGAGAAAGAGTCCGTGCTACAACTAGCTGATCTCCCAGTCCCCCCCCCCAGACTACAGTAGTGCCTTGCAAGACAAATGCCTCGCAGGAAAAAAAAAACTCGCAAGACAAATGCTTTTGGCAATGGGGTCGATGACTCGCAAGACGAATGTTCCTATGGCCGTGCTTCGCAAGACGAATGTTTTCCGTTTTTTGTTCCTGCCTCATGTTTGCTGATTTTTAAATGTTTTTCTATGATGTTTAAAAAGTTAAAGTTTTTTTGATTGAAATTTTTAAAATCATCTGCACAATATGTATGGCTTTAAAGAGCACTTAATAAACCCTTTGTAAACCAAATCTGACTTTGTTCTGACTTTTTTTTTTGCCCATAGGAACGCATTAATTAGATTTCAATGCATTCCTATGGGAAAACGCGTTTCGCAAGATGAATTTCTCGCAAGACAACATTAACCGCGGAACGAATTACATTTGTCTTGCGAGGCACCACTGTATTAACACCCCTGAGTCTATAGAATCATAGAATGACGGAGTTGGAAGGGGCCTATGAGGTCATTGAGTCTGACCCCCTGCTCAAGGCAGGAATCCAACTCAAAGGAGATATGCCAGAAGGTTGTCTACATTTCTCTTGAAGGACTCCAGCCCGTCGGATCATTCACCACCTCCTAAAGTCATGGATTGGTTCCCTTGTCATACTGCTCTAATAGTTAAGAAGTTTTTTTCCCCTGGTATTCAATCCAAGTCTGGCTTCCTGTAACATGGAACCCATTATTAAGTGTCCTGCACTCTAGGAGGATCGAGAACACATCCTGCCCCTCCTCTGGATGACTATCTTTCAAATATCTGAGCCATGCTATCCGATCGGTTTAACGGTAGTAAAAAAAAATGACGATGTTGAAAATTAAGCAAAATCCATGCAGCCAGACTGGAAGATTTTATCCAAAAGTCACTGGTTGGGGGGGATTATGGGAGATAAAATTCCAAAAAACGTTGCCCTCAACCTATTGGTACACATTCTTATAAACAACATTTTTTTAGAGTTATAAATAATATTCTCATATAGGGACAGCCTTGCTGTTAGGTGAAATAATAATAAAAAGATCATTGGAGAGAAAGGGGGTCCAAAAGTCATAAACTCCCACTCAAATATGTCTTTCTGTCTGCATATACGTGCGTATGTACCGTATGTATTTACAGTATAAATACCTTGCCTGTCTCCTTAAGTAGGAGTAGACATTGTCCAGAGGGGCTGGGTAAAAATCCAATAAATAAATAAATAAAATAAATTTAAAAAGGACCCACGGCAGCTTACAGCATTAAAAACACAATATTAAAAGCTAAAAAAATAGTTAATTATTAAGATATTTAAAAAGAATTAATAACATCAAAAAAATGTTAGGTCAATGCACAGCAATTTCCTTGCTTGTTTTTAAAAATTAAAATCTTGAACTGCCCTCTTGTCGAAGGGATCTGTCTGACCCAGAAGCTTGCATCCTATAAAGCGAACGCTGGTCTCAGCAATGTGTTATTTCACCAGCCACCTAACTCTGAATCCTACCCTGCCTCGACAATGGCTTCCATCTTTGCAAGGAAGCGGGGGGAGCGTCCCCCCCCCCCTGGCTTCTGCCCCCCCCCCACGGAGACCCACCTGCCACGTAATCACCAAATCCAATGGTGGTCAGCGTGATGACCACGAAGTAGACGCTCTCCAAAAGGCTCCAGCCTTCCACCCGCTGGAAGATGATGGTGGGAAGGGAGACGAAGAGGAGGCAACCGAAGAGGATGAAGAGCAAGGCGGAGAGGATTCGCACGATGGTGGCACTGACCTGCCACTTCTAAGGGCAGGCACAGAAGGGGCGAGGGAAGGAGACGAGAGAACAGGTGAATCGGAGGTAAAGAAGCCCCCCCCCAGGAGAGAAGCAAATCGTACGCGTTAGCTTTCTGCCAGATAATCTAGACCCGTTTCGGCTTCTGAGAGGGGACAGCCAGATTCCACGGTAACATTCACACAACCTCCCTGTTATATGCAGGACCCAGGTTTCAATTGCCAGCCTATAGGGTCGGGAATGTTTCTTGCTTAGCGTTCTTTCTAGAAAGCTTCAGCCTTCCACAGTTGACTGTATTGAGATTCACAAACCCATGGTTTCAGAAGAGCTCCTGATCCCCAGTATCTGTTTTTCAAATTCAGATTGCTCCTGGACACGGAAGCGCTATTCAGGCAGGACTTAGAGAAACCCATCCCCTGCTTGCAGTGACCGCCAAACTACAGTCTTTAAGCAATCACGCCAAAGCTACAGTCTTTAAGCAATCACGCCAAGCAGCTAACACAACTCTTCTCCTTTTCCAGGGCGTAGGCATCAGAGGTCAGAAAAGTTACTTTTCTTGGGTCCTAGAATCTCCCTCCTAGTAGCCATTTTGGAAGTTAAAGTCCAAAAATGGTAGCTTCGTCTCTAAAAAGACAATCCTCACCACTGACAACCTGCAGCAGTGAGATTCTTAGAAGAATTACAAGGTTCCAAGGTAAGGGTGCGACTACACAAGGATTTGTTCTGCCGTTTGGTCTGCTTTGGGGAAAGGCTGTTCTGCACCTTTTCCTCAGAGTGTTTCTGTCTGCAGTTTTTCAGGTCCCTATCAGGGGCTACTCTTTTTTACTTACACATAGGATCTCTCCATTTTGTTTTTGTTCCAACACGCACAAGGGCTGCGATCGAACTAAAGCGGATGGCTTGCTGCATTTAATTCCCCATCTGTGTTCAGTTTCTCAATATTGTTCAGTGGCTTAACCGGACAGCTAAGCCACTTAATGATACTGGGAAATTTAAAAAAAACTTCCTTTGCTCCTCTGTGGAATGGGAGAAAGAGAAAGCAAAGTTTTTGTTTGTTTGTTTAAAGCCTATTTCCGGCAACGTTGATTCACTAAATATTTTAAAAAGTGAAAGTGTTCTCCCCAAAGTGCGAGGAGACCAATGGCATTCTGCAACTCTACACACCCTTAAAAAATCCTATTTAACCAAATCCAGCCGGCTCTAATTTGGCTGTCTTTTCAAGCCCTGCAGCTACCCATTAGTGGGATAAACGATCATCCTTTTATGTGCTGGTAAACAAGCTAATCCCACAGAAGCGTAAGCGAAGAACCAAACTTGTTTAGCTATTTACATTTTTTTTTTTAAAAAGGCAGATGAGTAGAAGAAATGTGTATACAGTTAAATGTTTTTTTTTTTCCTCACCAAGAAAATATCTTCCACTTTGCCAATGCCTTTCCGGAGAGAGGATCCCAAGTGGTCCCCGACACCGGCGAGCAACATACCGAAAAGAGGAATCCCCACAAGGGCGTAGAAAATGCAGAAGAGTCGGCCAGCGTCCGTCTTCGGCGAGATGTTCCCAAACCCTGTCGGGCGAGAGAAAGAAGACACCAAGTCAGCAAAAATAAAAAGTTCCCCTCAATATTGATCTGCTAGATGCTATTCCCAAGAATCCATCTTTTCCCGACTGTGTGACATCTAGATGGGCAGGAGGAAAAACTCCCATTTTCCCCCAGATCATCTATGGGCTGGCAATGTTCCCTCTAAGCTGGCCTGGGAGCAATGGGAGTTGTAGTCCGACCTGGAGGGCACCAGATGGGCAGAAGGCTGGTGTAATGGCAAGCATCTCCCTTTTGATTTTGGTTGGTGAAATGCTGGAAAACATGAAGCAGAGCTATGCAAGAAGAAATGATCTCAGCATGCAAGGGACGAAATAAACATCCTTAGAATGTTGCTTTTCATTGGGCTTTTTTAAGAAAAGGCGTTCCTAGTCCTTAACGTTGTGAAACAGGCCTCAAAACTTGTAGACGACCAGGAAGTGGCAGAGACTGCTGCGTGCCAGGCTGCCAATCTTCTCATAAAAGTTTGACTCTTTTATAAGAAACCAAATACTGTATATGAAGGGTTGCTTGTGAGTTTTATTTAAGACCGAGGGAAACAAAGATATTCGCTGATGCAGTAAGCAATATAATAATCTGATGATTAAAAAAAATCAGTCAATCAGTGATGGTGATGATGCAGTAAGACCTGCCATATCTGTGGGATCAAGTACCCACGGTTTCACTTATCCACTGTGTGTAATAAAACAACCCAGAAATATACTTTCATGGTGTTTTAGCAGAACTGTCAACTAGAGGGAATCAGGGACTATACTATACTGTATATAGGTGGCGTAGAAATGCATTCATGGACTGACATCTTCATTTATCCACGATTTCTGGTATCCACGGGGGAGAGTTTTAAAACTGATCCCTCATGGATAGTGTGGTCCTGCTGTAGTTTATGTGAAGCTGTTTCAGCAAGAAAAACAAAGTATTTTTTCCTGACTACCAGGTTTTAAAATACCATCTACATCCCCCCCCCCTTATTATTATTTGCCTGAATCTCAGTGGTGTCCATGCAAGGTTTCTGTAATTTGCAGCTAACCAACAAGGTGGCGGCATGCCTCTTGGTTGCACAATGGGCACAGGACCACGCACACAATGAAGACACACTCCAGCTTTTTATCAGTTAGCAACAATTAGCCACGCCAACTTATGCAAACCTTATGCATAGATCAACAAGGGGTGTGGGTTTTTTTGCCCATTATTATTTCAAGGCCTCCTTTGCTTTGTTTTCCCAGCCCCATGTGCCCCCGACAGATAGATCTCTGGCGCTGCTCCTAAGTAAATAGTTTTTTTTTAAAAAAATATTTTCTCCTACAAATATCTCAGGGTGAGATTTTGAGACCTTAAGTGCCAATTAATGATAAACGGGTGGACTCATGCGCACTTGAAGCTATTCCCTCCTGTGGGTCTCTGTACATCTATTGTGTAGCAAAAGGGATTTTAGCAGACGTTCAAAACTCTTCAACAACCTTTCCTGTTCCAACAGCCTCCATCTTCCCCATCCCTTCTTCCCCTCCCTCCCAACCTCCCAAATCAATCCCTGGATACCAATAGTGGTGATGACGGTGCCGGCAAAGAAGAAGGCGCTGCCCATATCCCAATGTTTTAAAAAATATTTTCTCCTACAAATGTCTCAGGGTGAGATTTTGAGACCTTAAGTTTCAATTAATGATAAACGGGTGGACTTATGGGCACTTGAAGCTATTCCCTCCTGTGTAGCAAAAGGGATTTTACCAGACGTTCAAAACTCTTCAAAAACCTTTCCTGTTCCAACAGCCCCCAACCATCTTCCCCATCCCTTCTTCCCTTCCCTCCCAACCTCCCAAATCAATCCCTGGATACCAATAGTGGTGATGACGGTGCCGGCAAAGAAGAAAGCGCTGCCCATATCCCAGTGCGAGCTGTTTGGGTTTGAGGTATTCAAAGCGGGCTCCACACCAACTCCCATGGCCTCACCTACATGCTAAGAGGAAGAGCAGAGAGAAGAGCTAGATCCCAGCTCAGAAACAGGATCCACCAGAAACTTTTCTTGCTAAAAAAAATACCTGCCAATGATGCGTTTTCCTGGTCAATCAGCTCCAATCCTGACAAAGTTCCTCAACTTTTGACTCTTTTTCTGTTCTTAATTTCAGTTCTCAGAATCCCCAAACATTGGGCCGCGCCAGCGGAGACTTGTGGGAGACTGAAGTCCAAAACATTTAGAGCAGGGGTTCGCAAACTGTCGGCCCCCAGATGTTTTTGGACTTCAACTCCCAGAAGCCTTTTCACCACGAGCTGCGCTGGCCAGGATTGGTAGTTGAAGAACCCAAAATTGGGAACCATGGATCTAGACTCGAGGGACAAATGCTGAGACTCTCAAGCTGGCATATGTGGGTTTGCCCTCTCTCGCTTCCATCTTCACAACAACCCTTTGAGGTAGGTTACGCTGAAGGATGAAGGTGACCCAGTCAGCCTTTGCGGCTGAGAAGGAACTTGAAGCTGAATCTCCCAAGAGATTCAGCTTCACACAAGGCTGTGTGGCCCCCCCGAACAGTAGCATCTGGTGACTCCAGTTCTGAGGGACTCGTGAATCCATTCCAGATGTTATTCAACACTGTACAGTAGCTATTCAACATTATCGGCCCTATCTCCCTCGCCACAAACAGTCCAGAACTTTGAGTAACTTCTATATGAAAACCTGGAGTGGAGTCACAGCACACTGGAAACTGGAGTCCCCAGCAATCATTGCCCCGGGACATTGGCCTCAAACTCCCGTCAGCCCTAACTAGGATGGATGTTTCAGTCCAACAATCTTGGAAGGGCCATCGGAGCCTCAAGCCTGCCAACGTTCATTCATTCATTCATTCATTCATTCATTCATTCATTCATTCATTCATTCATTCATTCATTCATTCATTCATTTATAGAATGAATTATAAAGGTCCCTGATATCATATTAAATTCATGGTTCACATAAACCTGGATTATATTGCATGGTCTTGAAGTCTACCTGTGGGCTTTTCAAAGATTTATCTGGAAAAACTGACTGCCATACTAGAGGGGCAAACCATTCTGATCCAACATGCCGGTCCTTAAGCCTTATATTTTGCATCAGAACATAGTCTGGGAATGTTCCGTCATGGGGACTACAACTCCCAGAATCCCCCCGCTAGCATCCCCTATCCAGCCACCCTGTCTCACCTCAATAAGCTCTCCCAGGTCTTCAGGAGGAACACACTGATGGGTTTTTAAGAACTGCTCCAGATAGGCTTGGATTTTCACCTGCTGCTGCATTTCGTAGGGTTGTTCCAGCTGGCGGAAGACAAACGCACCTGTGACCAGGTAAACCAGGACCACGGAGAAAAGGGCCAAGACGGTGGTCCGGCGCATCACAGCACTGTGTTCTGGTGTCCTTGGGCTGAGAATGGATTCCTTAGATGGGTAGCAGACTACCGGCATGGACTCATGATGGTCAGGAGGGCAGATGGCCGGAGGCATAGGTAGAGGGGGATAATTCACTGCAAGATGGTACAGAGAAGAGGCAGTGTGTGAACACACACCCTTGTCATCCTTCTGAATTCCCAGTTACAAAAGTTCAGGGTCCAAAGCCAATACCGAGTAAGGTTATAATGGGTTTAAAGAAGCCAATTGGGAGTGAGGTCATGATGGATGAAAAATGCACACTATGTAAAATGCACTGTTGCTGGAACCACTTGGGTTTTAAAAAAGACAAATTTATATGGAGTACAACCCATCAAGGAACAAAGAGCCAACAAAGAAGAATGGAGCTTCCATAGTCAAAGGCACTTTGCCTGTAAAACACCAGGAAGAGGAGACAGAGGATGTCTGTTGTATACATGCCTTGTGTATAGAATCATAGAATAATGAAGTTGAACGGCCATCATCTCCAACCCTCTGCTCAGTGCAGGAATCAAAACATATCTGCCAGGTGGTTGTCTAAGTTTCTCTTAAATGCCTCCAATGTTGGAACACTCACTACCTCTATTGTCGCACTGCTCTAACAGCTAAGAAGTCGCCTCTCGAGGTACTTGATTCTATTGTCGTACTGCTCTAACAGCTAAGAAGTTTTCCCTGATATTCAACCGAAATCTGGCTTCTGGCTGGTTCCTTTTTGAAGCAAGATGTTCAACTGAATAGAATCTTAATCTGACCCAGAAGGATAGGTAAATTACATTTTTGGGGGGCGTGTATTTAAATTTCTCAGCCAGCCTGATGGCTAAAAGAACCGACATCCCCAAATTCTGAAACAAGGCTTATGATGGGAATCCATTGTCCCAACACCGTAAACAAGACCTCTCCTGAGATTGTCCTGTTGTTTTGAGCTAATCTTGTGTACTCCATTAGCTATAATATTTCTTAACCTTTTAAAAACGGCTGTACGATTTCGTATTGAACAGTTGCATCGCTAAGCGTTCTTTTAAAGACAAGTACAAAGGACAGTGGCTGTTCAGACAAGATCGTTTCCTTCTTGCTCTGATGACATCTTTCCTTCCACAAAGTCCAGTACAATCTGAACCTTATTCCTCTCTCTGTGTTTTTTTTCCTAGCTAGGAATGCAAGCTTTCCTCTCCCGATCCGTGAATTTGAAGACAAGGATGGGTGGGGGAAAGAATAGGACAACAACACGAAGACCCCCATTCGCTCCAGTTACGGTGCCCTCTGGGGCAGACGCAGGGACAGGAACCTGGGCCCCCTTTTTGCAAGCTGTAATGGTCTTCTCTCCCCAAAGACCAAGGAGCCCAGAATCTAAAATTGGTCCATTACCCTTTCCCACAATTTATCCCTGATCTGCTGGCACAGGAAAACCCACTGAGCTCCTACAATTCCCATTAAATGTTTCGGAGTGCGGGTTAGTATTGGAATTGGATAGGTTGAACCACCCCCTCTTCTCCGTTATTTTTTTTCCAGATGGCAACGCATTGCCTATATTCCACCTCCGTTTGCCTCTCCCCACCCTCCAAAAACACACCCCACCAGGCAGAGGGACTGGGTCAGAGAACGACCTTCGGAGAAAAATCATGGCCCATAGTATTAAAGGCAAGAAATGCTTAAACACACACACACACAGAGAGAGAGAATGGAAAAATCTTCTGTTCTGGATTTTCTGGCTGTTTCTTGTGGCCCAGGAGGCAATCAAATGATTTATTTACCTAGGAGTAAGACACGACTTAACGACTAAACAACAACAAAAAAGCATCATCAGGATTCTATTAAACTTAGTTCTGAGCAATCGGGCATTGCTATAGTTATGGCAACTCCATAGCCTTCTGCTAACATCTTTTATCCCTCTTTTCTTTAAAAACATGGTTTTTAGATGTTGGGAAATCTTTGGGTCCAAGTCCAACTCTTTGGCACAAAGGCCTGGATCCCAAACCCCCATGTCTGAGTCCCTATTAAAAACAAGCTCCCCCCTGAAAAATAAAATAGAGGGAGCCAGTGGGTTCCAAAATTCAAGTCAAATCGGAGTCCAGTAACTGGTGTGATTTAAGTTCGACTTGAGCGTGTGTCCCGCGAGACCTCAATTCCTGGTTTTTAGAAAGAAAAAGAAGATGCCTATGTACATTAAGCATAATAGGCTTGCAACACATAAAAAGAGCAAAACTTGACACTCTTGTCTGTCACAGAGACATCTGGTGGCCAGGTCCTAATTTTGTTGCCTTCTTATCGGCTGGATAGCTCAGTGGCTTAGGTCTCTGGCTGTGAAGCCTGGGGTTGCGAGTTCGAATCCCCCCACTGAGAGAAGAGCCAGCCTGGGTAGCCTTGGGCAAGCTGCACAGTCCCACAGTGCCCCTAGAGGAAGGGAAGGGTAAAACACTTCTGAGTAATCTCTGAAAAGGATTGCGGTAAGTCAGAATTGACACAGACACGGGTTTATAAATTGGCACTCCCAGACCCACCCAGGGCGGGCACGGGTCTGTATACCCATCGCCTCTCTACTCTTTACCCGAATCATGGGCAGACCGGGGGGCAAAAATGGAAACAGGTGGAAATGGAATTTTTATTTATTTATTTATTTAATAGGTCTGTATACCCATTGCCTCTCTACTCTTTACCCCTCATGGGCAGAACGGGGGCAAAAATAGAAACAGGCGGAAATGGAAGAACAGAGAGCACATGATGCCCGTGATCAGAAAACACGCCACCTTGGAACAGGGGCAAATTCAGCTGGGAGAACAGAGAATGCACGATGCCCGTGATCAGAAAACACGCCGCCTTGGAACAGGGGCAAATTCAGCTGGGAGGGAAAGACCCTTAAAAAGGGTTACCCAAGAGTCAGGGAAGAAAACACTTTCTTGATGCTTGGGTGAGTCCCAGTGGCCTGAAAGCTTAGATTCGGATCGCAGCACCCACCCCTAATAATGCACTCACCTTCAAGGCTGTGATTACAGAGCTGACATCTCCGTTAGACAACGTGGATCCCTTCGCCCGAGAGATCTGGAGAGATTATTTTTTTGGGGTGGGGGGCCTTTGCTTTTAAACCTCTCAGCGCCTCCCCGCACGGTGCGGCGGGGAGGAGCAGTGACTCAGAAGCAGCCGCCTGCGATTGCACGGGCCCCCTGCCAACCCCCCGAGATCTGAAGATGACTCCAATTAACTGAAGACAATTCAATTAAAGGCTACCCTCTCTCCCAGACCAACCGTCCTGGCATTTGCCGCAAACCACAAGAGAAGAGAAAGTTCTCCCCTGAACACTGTCCCACCCACCCTCACCGAACTTTCTGGGCAACTGTCCACTCCACTGATTTACTTATCCCTGGACATTGTGGGGGCTTGCTCTGAAAGGGGATGACGTCCTGACATTTCCTAAACCACTAAAATAAAAGGCAGTGCAAACTATGTTTCTGACCTAGCAAGCTTCTGAGTCAGACAGAGTTCTTATTTCGACAGAAAAGATCTGTTTTAAAGGCCTAAAGCTTACAGTATTTTTTTGGCAGAACCTGCTGTATAAAACTTGTGGCTCTCTGCCCTGCCTATTCACTATGCACATGGAGACCGGTCCCTTTTGCACCTTATCTGAAGAAGAGTTCTGTGCAATACGGAAGATTGTCACGGCAGCCTCACCTTTGTTGAAGCTTACATTCCTACGCCTCTTGAATCACCTGCATCTTAGGGCTGGTCGCACGCAAGCCATCACACGATGCTTTCCTTCATGCACGCAGAATTTCCATGGTATATCCCTTATTTACATTTTTCTTCTCCTCTCATCCTACGTACTCCTGTATATATAATACGTATGCCCCATACACACATTCTTGTCGCCTGTGGTTCAAGGTGAACAGATGTTTTCCCAAATCTCTCACACATCTGGAAACATCAGTGATCCTCACACAAGCGCAAATGGCCCCACAACAACATTTTCCCACAGCATAACAGTTCTCACTGTGTGTGTTATATTATCTTGCCTGTAAGGCAACTTACTTATGGAGCAACTATATAGTAAATGTGAAGCAAAAATATCATGTATATATTCTTCCAATACTCTTTGAAGATTTATATATGACCCTAAACCGTTTTATATGCTTATTCTATTTTATTCTCTCCTTTCTCACAATTCTTCCCATTCTGTGTCTCCCTCCCTATCGCACACGCTCCCCATTTGAGTCTCACACACACAGAGTCCGGCTTTTGTTTGTGTCTGCTTTCTCATAAACACATTTGTGCGCATGAACACACAGAGAATTTCCCATTAAAAAAACACCCCACAAACACTTGTGTATTTTTTTTTGTGTGTGTCTCTCTCTCTCACACACACACACAAACACTTCAGGTGCCTTTCCCACTTCCCGTCAGGTCCAACATTTTGATAAATTATCCCGTCACCCTAAGATCCATGCACTCACATGCGCATAGTGTCACATACTCTCATCATATATAAAAACACACACCCCAGTGTGCTCTCTCTTTCTCACACAGAGTTTCCTTACCCTCTTTTTGCCCATTTCTACATCTGTGGTGTCTCTCCGAATGTGTGACAGCTTAGCCTTAATCGAAAACACACTTGTGCTTCCCACCTTATTACACAAACAGGTCTACTTCACATACACAAGATTAACCTTGAATGCAACATACCCGACATCTCTGCTCGCACACACACTTTCTATCTCGTCCCACAGCTGTGCCTCCCACACAAACGGAAGTCAACCCATGCATTCACTCACGCACAATCGTGTCAACCCTATCCTGCCACACGCAGAGACAACACACTTAAGCATCCAACTGCCCTTTGCACGGTCTCTGACACCTCCATGGTCTGTCCCACTGCAATCCCCCCACTAGGCTGCACTGTCTTGCAGTGTCACTTTTTCCCCGGCTCGTGTGCACACAAACACACACATACGGCTCATTTTTCCCCCCTTGCTCATGACACATCCTGTCTGTGCAATTCAGACCCTTTCTGGGTGGGATCGACAGAGAGAAAGAAAACAGACTTACCCCCCAGCTCGGCAACCCTACTAAGAGAGAGAGAGGAATGTTTTCCCCATCCACCCCATTGTCTCGGCTTTTTTTTTCCAGCCCTCTCTTCTCTTCGACACACTTTTAATGCTGTCTCACCCTCCCATTTCTTCGCCTCCGCCCGGCCATGCTCCTGCTTTGTGGCCGAGAAGGGCCAAAAGGCAGATCTCTTCCCCCCCCCCACATGCTCAGAGGCTTTCCCCCTCCACCCACTCCCCATAGGCACACCACCAGATGATGCCCCACAGACCAGCATCTCCCACCCACCCCCAATGCTCCCTTGCCAAGGATGCAGAGCCCAAGGGGAGGGGGGCAGTGATGCCTAATGGGCAGGGGGGCCAGAGAAAGCATTAGATGGAGGGGGGAGGCGAGGGCTGGGACCCGCCCCAGCATCCCTGCATCAACTCACTCTTCTTCTCTGCAGCGGCTCCTCCCTTTGCTGATGCTCTTGGCTGGACAGACAGGTGAAGCCTCCCCCCACAGACACACACACTGTCCACAGCAGCCCCCTTCAAGCTCACCCTGCACATACACCTCCAGTCAGCCTAAACCCACCCTCCCCACCTCTCTTTCCCCCCCCTTCTCCCCACAAAAGACAGCTCAGCCTACGCTGCCCTGGCAACCAGACAGAATCGAGACCCAGAAGGGGGGAGACAGTGTGGACGCACAAGCGAGGTGGCGTGGGTTTAACCCTTTGGGGGAAACAGCCTGGGGGAAAAATCTGGGCAGAGATGGGGGGTATGGGGGAATCGGTTGAATTCACATTTGGGGGAACGAGTTGTCTCTGGATCAGAATCATCTCCATCAAGGGAAAAATGGAGGGGGTGAGGACACTTTGCCAGTGAAAAATTAAGTGGCATATTTAAGATTGCTTTAAATGCCCCCCCCCCAAAAAACAGAGGTTGCTGAAACATTCCAGGATGGGTTGGATTTCAGCTCCCATCATCCTCCACCAGAGAACTGCATCTCAAGGGTGCACATTGGGAAAGGCAGCCTTACATTATTTAGAGGGGAATTATTTAATTTGGGGAGGGGGAATAAATTATTTTGTGGAGGAGGAGCAGGCCATAGACATCATTGCTATAAGCTTCTTGCGGGAGGGGAGTTTTATTTAACCACATGGGTGTAAGCAGAAAAGGAAGGGGTGGAAACAGAGAACGCGGGAAGGGAACAGGGTCCATGAAGAGCTGAGACACACACATACACCCGGGTGTGGAAAGCGAAATCTTCCGGTGACATGTAAGTACTGCTCTTATTATTATGGCTATTCATTGCACTATTAAATGTTGAATGAGGTTGTCCTACTTTTGACACATCATGAAAAGGCAAGAGTCAGCGGAAAGGGCAATAAGGCTAGGAAAAGTTGAAAGCAGCAGGAAAAGAGGAAGACCGAATACGAGATGGACCAGCTCCCTAAAGGAAGCCACAGGGTTTTGTTTACAGAAGCTGAGCAGGGCTGTCAAGGACAGGAAATTTTAGAGATTGCTCATTCATAAGGTTGCCATAAGGCAGAGGTGATATAAAAGCTGACGATGACAAACCAATTATTTGTGCCTTTCCTCCAATCAGCTCTTCTTCCCTGATTTCATCCGCAGAACCACCCTGCGAGGTCGGTCACATTGAGGGACCCCGACTGGCCCCCCGAGGACTCAGAGAAAAGCAGTTTGAGTGTCACACCAGGATTTGGGAGAGCATGCTTCTAGCCCTCAGTGAGGCATTCAATGCACACAGTGACTCTCGGCCTCTCTCTGCCTGACCTGACCTCCTAGGATTGGCTCTGAGGATTCAAGAAGGGACGCAGGAGGAGAGCCACGGATGTTACTCTGTGCATTTTTGAGGAAAGGTGGGATGTAAAGATGAAACGAAACCTATTTTAACTTAATATGTTGCTTCCCTAAATCAAGACACAAAAGGAGGGACAGATCAGGTTGGGGGAAATGTGAATTTGCACCCTTTTTCTGGAGGGTGACGTAATTCAAATGGAATACTCACCTGTTCAGCTCGGCTCCTGCGTCGTTGCTTGGAAAAGTTACTCTTTTTTTTGGACTCTCTGTCCCAGAATTCCAAGCCAGCCCCCCACAATAAAAGCCCTATTCTTTTCTTAAAGAAGGTGCTTTTCACAGACAGATGGGAAACCTGATTTAAAAAAAAAATTGGGACATTCCCGTGGATCCTGGATCTCACAGGACAAAACTCACCTGCGTGTTTGGTTCATCCTGGCATGCTTTACCTGCACGCTGTCTGGGTTTTGACCCATTTTAATCCACACCAATAGAAAAATGATCTTTAAACAGAGCTAGGCGCCAGGTAAAACAGGGATATTTTCAGGATCCTGTTTATTGTTGACAGAAAGGGGAGGGAGAGGAAAAAGGGGAGCAGGGAGGACCCCCCCCACCTCAACCATGTGTTCTTTTTGCCATTGTTTACCCAGGAGAAAAATAAGAGAGAAATCCAGTACCGATCTAGGATCCAAGACCGGCTGTTCTACAGCCACTGTGAAAAGGTGGCTGTAGAAATTTTGTCTCTCCCAATCAAGATCTCTCTCAAATCAGACTATATTCATAGGAAGGAGGAGGGTTTGGGCCAGAATATTGTCTTCGGCTCAGGAACGCTTCTTTCTCCATCATCATCTTTCACAGATCCCTGGCAGTGATCTGGGATGATCCCGGTCCTAGACAATGAAATGCATTTTCAACTGGAGAGAGGAATGCTTTTCTTCTTCTTCCCAATCAGTGTTTTTGGGAATTTTTTTTTTGTTTTTTTAGGGATGGGAACAACAACAAAGCAGAAAGACCCAGCAGACTCCTTGTGCGTGTGTTGCTAACAGCCATTAAACTTCTCAACGGTTGGCCGCTGCAGATATCTCGGCACAGGTTGTTTTTAAAAATCCAAGACGAAGCCGACGACACATCAAAAAAAACACACACTTTACACTGGAGAAATCGGGAAATCTGAGCTAGGCAGAAAGAAGATTAGAGAGAAAGCAAAGGTTATATTCTGGAGGCAACAAAAAAATATTGAAATGGAGATGGTCCTACGTTGGGCACAGGGTGAGAAAGCAAGATTGCTAGAGAAAAGAGAATAAGGTTGGGAAAAGTTGAAGGCAGCAGGAAAAGAGGAAGACCCAACGTGAGATGAACTGACTCCTTCGAGGAAGCCATAGGCTTGAGTTTGCAAGGCTGTTGAGGACAGGACTTCCTGGAGAGAGCTCATTCATGGGGATGGCCTAGGTTGGAGGCAACCTGATAGCACATCACAACAATAACAACATTCCCATTGAGCTTTGAATCTCATGGGTGGGCTTTGGGGCCCGTCCCGCACTCTCTTTCACCCTGGCCTACCTCACAGGGCTGTTGCTGCTGTGAGGATAAAGCCAGAAGGAGGAAAACCATATACAGTATGTGGCTTTGAGACTATTGGAGAAAAGTCGGGGGAGGGAGGCACTGAATAAATAATACAAAAATAAAAGGAGAGAGCTACGTCGTCAGTGTGACTCAAGAAGATTTTGACAATTATGCCTTTTTTTTAAAAAAACAAAACTCTAGGCTGGTACTGCCATCTCTAGAAACTGCTCTGCAGGATTTTTGGGAGAGAAAGCGCTTTGACATCACCAAAAACCTGGTCAAATACCAGGAAATGTCAGGACCTGAACCCACAACCTATAGGTGAAGCAGAATCTCTACCTCTGAGCTACACTTCCCTTCCTGCATCTCCCTACTCCCTTTTCTTTTACTTGAAAAAAAGGGGGGTTTATTATTATTATTATTAATTTGTGGGAAGACGTCTATGACATGTCATATTTTTTCCTGCAACCGTTTGAGCTTATGGGTGGGTTCGAACCCGTTTATTGTATTTATTGTATTTATACCCCGCCTATCTAGTCATTTCGACCACTCTAGGTGGCTTACAACATATGAGTAATCCGGTGAGAAAGGTCAGATTACTCATCAACATGTTTGAACTTGTTTAGGGGTTCAAACATAGGTTGCAGAGAAAATGTGAAAGGTCATAAAAACCCTTTTGTTGTTGTTGTTGTTGTTGTTATTATTATTATTAAACACCAGGCACAGTCAATCAAAACTATAAAAACATTGACTGGTATTATATAACAGATAGAAGTTTTAACCAAAAACCTAAGTATCTGTTAAATATCAGTGTACAGTGGATCCTCGACTTACAGACGGCTCGACTTACAGACTTTTCGAGTTACAGACTTCTCTGGACGCAAAATTTAGATTCGACTTGCAGCCAGAGAATCGACTTACAGACCAGAAAAAAACCAAAAGGGAACAAAAATAGAATAAAAACTGCCAGTTATGGGATTAATCAGTTTTCAATGCATTGTAGGTCAATGGAGATTCGACCTACAGACTTTCCGACTTGCAGCCACCGTTCCAATACGGATTAATTCCTTAAGTAGAGGGTCCACTGTAGTATGTACAATGTTCCTAATATTGCTGTTTTTTGTAGCACTGAGGGTGTGATTTCTGAGATCTGCAACTGCTTATAGTACTGTGTGAAATTTCTTGATATTGTTTCCCAAAGCTCCGTTGACTACGGGAACCACTGAAGTGTGTTTCATCCACAAGCAAGAAGTTTCGATTACCAGGTCTCTGTCCTTTGAAAAAACTAACAAATTCTTTATTTTCAACTCTGGCATCCCGGTTTCGATTACCAGGTCTCTGTAAGTACTTTGAAAAAACTAGCAAATTCTTTATTTTCAACTCTGGCATCCCCGGGAATTGCCGTGTCAATGATCCAGATGTTTCCTTGTTCTATTACTACTGTGTCTGGTGTGTTATGTTCAAGGTGTCTGTCCGTTTGGATCTGGAAATCCCACAAGATCTTGATTTCCTCATTTTTCTAACACCTTCTCTACTTGATGTTCCCACAGGGTTTCGGAGGCCGGCAAGCTACATTTTTTGCACGATGACCAATACACAAATGCATTATCATCATCATCATTATCAATCACCTGGTGAGCTGGGTTTTCAGAGGCTGGCTTCTTCTTCCGCTTCGAGACCATCCTCTTCTGGTTCTGCTTTTGGGGCCAGCTGGGCAACGGGGGCACTTCCCAAAATGCCCCGGCGGAGAACATAAGGGCAGGAGGGCCCGGAAGGGATGTCAGCAAATCCTGCAGGGGGGAAGAGTCTGTGAATCTGAATGAGCTGCATAGATTTCCTCCGAGGTCTTTTTCCCTAGGGGAAAACATTCCCTAGGCATGCTTTGTGAAAAGGATTCTAGAACCCTGATTCTTAACTTGGAAGTCCCCGCAATCACGCAGCCTATATGCCCGAGTCCCAGCACTCCGGAGGGTCTACAGAATACCCTCTCCTGCTCACTCCCATTTCACTTGTTGAACAACAGCCCTTTGTGTTTGGGAGAGAAGTGGTCAGTTCTTCTTTAAAAGTAAAAAGAACTTGGCCTCCTTTCTCCTGCTAGCAACATGGGTGTGATATTATGCAGCAATACAGTGGTGCCTCACTAGACGATGATCATCCATTCCACTGAAATCGCTGTTTAGCGAAATCATTGTCCAGCGAAAAGCATTTCCCCATTGGAATGCATTGAAACATGTTTAATGTGTTCCAATGGGGAAGAATCGTCTTTGTCTAGCGAAGATCAGCCATAGGAAAGCCGCTTTGCGAACCGCCGATCAACTGTTTAAATCGCTGTCTTGTGAAGCTTCGGTCCTGAAAACACCCGTTTTGCTGTCAAAATCATCGTCTGGCGAAAATTGGTTTGCGAAGCAGGGACCAAACATTGTCCAGGGAAATTCCCCCATAGGAATCACTGTTTTGCGAATTGCTATAGCGATCGCAAAAAGACAATGTCTAGCGAAAAAACTGTCATGCGGGGTAACTGTCTAGCGAGGCACCACTGTATTGAGACATTTCCTGGCTTTTTGAATTGCGGGGACAGAAAAGCCACTGTTTCCCACATTCATAAACCAGAGGAGTTTTTTTTTAAAGAATTGAATAGAAATAAATAGCACATGTTCCCCAGTCAGTTCTATATTCACCGCCAGATGGAAGGACAGATCCGAGAGATCTGGGGGGAGGGGGCTTCAGATGGTTGCTCCTAGAACTCAGAAACCCCCTCCAACTCTCCCTCCAAAAAAATATAAATTAAAAAAATAAAAGTAACTGAAAAAGCCCCATTTTGAACGTAAGAAATCTCACTGGTAAAAGAAAAGGAAGATTTGGTTCTAAATAGAGCAAGAAAAGCTGCTGCAACAATCATATCTATATTTGCAAAGTCTGCAAGGACATCCAGAAATGGGAAAGGTTATTCCTGTAGACTACAGCCCCCAGCATCCTCCAGCCAGCACAGCAGGGGATTCTGGAAGTTGTAGTCCAAAAAGCACCTGTTCCAAGTTCAAGTCCTGTCCTGTTGGGTCACCTGTTTTCTCCGCCTACCTTTCATGACCACTTCAGGAAGCCCGTAAGGCTCGTATTGGGTGTCATCAAAGGCCACGGAGACCCTCTCCCGGCGCCGATGCTGGACGCCTGCCTCGGGTCCCTCCGTCTGGGTCTGGACATCGCGTTGGCTCTCCTGGATAAGGAGTGCCACCTTCTGGGAAGCTTGGAGAACTGCAAGACACAGAAGACATTAGTAAGAAGGTCGCAAGAGATCACATCAAAAGGGACGTGCAAATGTTTATTATCGACTCTATTTATTTAAAGCCATTTCCTCTAGTAACACAGATCAGAAGGTGGTTTGCAAAGGGAAATGCCTTTAAATAAATCAAAAAGTTGAAAAATCAAAACTTGGTGCAAAGCCAAGGAGCTAATTAAGAGAAACAGCAAAAAGGACCTGCAAATTTTACCTCTGTCACAAACTTAAGCTGCTACGGCTCAGGCTTAGCTTTCCCTGCCTCCGAGTCGTTGGAAAACATGGGCCTGCCTTGCAGGGCCGTCGTTAAGGCTGCTTAAGAAACCCCCTCAAACCGGCACATTCAAACACTTGAAATGCAAATGCTCTTTTTTATTACGCCTATATGCAACAAAATGTTGCAGTACAGAGCGGTGGTTCAGAATTCCAGGTGCTCCACGCCATTCTTCACGCATGCGCAGAAAGGCACGTGCACACGCACAGAGATTTCTGGGTGCCCCCAACAGTCCATGGCCACTCCTTAGCCCCTGAGCATGTTCAGTTTTCTTTGGGTTATTTTAAAGCCTGCATTTTTAACTACACAATAAATGTCATCCACAACTTGAACATCTCTAAACTACAGGTTGTTGTTTTTTTATTAGAAAGAAACATGGATAGATGCTGCCCTGGACTCTGTTCCACAAACGGCAACTCTGTGCCCACCAAAGGCACAGACCTTTTCCCTTCGGAAGGAAGGGAGTGGCATTCTCTTAACCCTCCACCTCAATGAGGACTAGGCTCATGAACCCCTATGTCTTAGAGAATGGGACCTCTTCTCTGTTCGCATCCCATTCATCTGATTCTTTTACGCATCATCTTACCATTGGCAGCCGTGGCTTCTCCGTGGAGCGTTGAAGATATGGAGCAGGAATCAAGGTCCCCCTTTTCCACAATCATTGCTTCCCAGTGTATTAGTTCATGCCGAAGGGCCTGGTTTTCTCGAAGGAGTTGGGCCAGAAAAGTCTCCAGCTACAGACAAAGAATTAGAGCAGAGGGCAAGTAACTTAATCCACGAATTCAACTAACCAGTAAAAGCAATCATCTTTCAGAGCTTATCAGACCACTAGATGGTCTATATAGATACATGCGAGACTTCTAAAGAGATGTTAAACACTCTGGACAGATCAGGGGTGAAAAATGCTTTTGGTTCTCAGGCAACCAGTAATTCTATTTATTTACTTATTTATTTTATTTTATTCTATTTATACCCCACCTATCTGGTCATTGCGACCACTCATTAATCGTAACAAACGTAGAAAAAGTTTTATACACACTCACGGTAGAAGCATGCCTCCTAGTGTACTTGTCCCCCAGCTGATTAAGTGGTTATTAGAAAAATCTAGTGTTTTTTTAAAGTTACTTTTTCCATCTTTAGCTAGGACTTTTACACAGTCACCGATTTTTGAAATTAATTCCTGACCCAATCCATTGAGCTAATGACCCAGCCCTCTTTTTTTTTAAGTTACTTTTTCCATCTTTAGCTAAGACTTTTACACAGCCACCGATTTTGAAATTAATTCCTGGCTCAATCCATTGAGCTAATGACCCAGCCCTCTAATGGGAACCAAGTGGCGGTCTGACTTGGCAATAAAAGGGAACCCGAAGATGAGGAGACATTCTGGGAATTAAAAGTGGACATAAATATGTATTTACTGCATGCCTTCCTCCTCTAAGAAAAAAAAGAAGAAGAAAAACTTCAGTTTATTCCGTGCCATACATCTTTACCATCGCAAGGCTTGGAAATGCTTTCTTGAAAGAGTTCTTAAAATAAAAATAAAAAAAATTCCCAATATCCCAGGCAAAAAGGCTTACTTCTGCCTGCTCATGACCCTCTTTCTGCGCACATGTGGCCAGGCCATTGCGCGCCATGCCGGCTTTGTCGCCTCGGGCGAGCGTGGCCTCGCCATCCCCGGCTAACCCGTGGGCAGTTTTGGCGCCAACGCGACGCAGTTCTTCCTCCTTCTCCTCCAACAACGCCCGCAGGCTTTGCGTCTCCCCGTGGGCCGCGTCCAGGGCGTTTTTGGTGTCCTCCAGCTCTCGCCGCAGGCTGTCCACGAGTCGTTCCTTCCCCTCGGCGTCGGCCACCAACTCCTCCACGTGGCGGCTTTGGGCCTCTAAGGCTTGAGACAGCCGTTCCGTCTGGAGCCCTAACGTGGCCTGCAAGCTTTGGAGCTTCTGCTGGGCCAGGCGGGCTTGGGCTTCCGCTTCGGCTTTGCCGGCGGCTAGAGTCCGGATAGTCTCACGCCAGCCCTCCGTGGCCTCCCCAGGTTCATCAGGTTTTCCTTCTGCATGAGCTTCATCTTGGGTCCGGTTTAGCTCCTCAGCTTTCGCTAGACAAGGCGCCTCTGCCTTGGCCCGCCCTGCAGGGGTGTTAGGCGTTCCCATTTCTGGTTCAGCCTCTTCTGGACCTTCTTGCTCTGTTTGAGCCTCCAGCGCCTCCTCCCCTCTGGACCCGAGCGCTCCTCTCTTTCCTGTGACTTCTCTCCCCTCCAAAGCCTGCGGTTTCTTCCCAGCCTGGTGGCGGGAAGCCTCTTTTCTCCTCTGCCACGATGCCACTCTCAGCCCCAACAGGGGCGTCTGCCTCTCTTGAACCCAGGCCCGGGTCCTCTGCTGTTGCCAACAGCTCTCCAGGAGGGTTTTGCGCTGGCTCTCCGAGGCCTCCAGGCGCCGGCGGAGGGTCAGTACTTCCACCCTGAGGGCCTGCAGTTCCTCCGGGCTTCGCTCGGTAGTCGGGCCTTTGGGGCTCTGAAAGGCCAAGCCTGAGGAAAGAGAGAGGAGAAAGGCTGAGGGAATCACCGGGCATCTTTTGGAGCAGAAGCTGTGGGTCACCCCACACCGACGGCCAGAGGAGACAAGCAGTAGGGTAATGGTCCCCAACCTTGGGCCTCCAGATGTTCTTGAACTACAACTCCCAGAAGCCTTCGCCACCACCCCTGCTGGCCACGATTTCTGGGAGTTGAAGTCCAAGAACATCTGGAGGCCCAAGGTTGGGGACCACTGCGTGGGGGACTCGTGGGCTCCTGCCGGCTCCCCCTTGAAGCCCCTGCTTTGGCCGCCAGATTAGATGGGCCTTCAGCCTGGCTGCACAGCCCTCCCATCAGCCTTCCGATCATTGATTTTTTTCATATATACTGTTATTTTTTTTTAAATGATGTTATGATTATATCGTAATGATTTATTTTATTTTTGCAATGGCTGGAAAGCTTGGGAATAAGGAAACACACGTTAAGTAACAAAACAACACCGTTCTGCAGTCGAGAATGACACTGCATGCCACAAAACAAGCTTCTAGCCCTCATGGTTTATGGGCATGAGTTTAAACGTCGTGCGTCTATGGGAGCCGTGGAATCGTGAGAGTTGCTAATTTTGGTGGGGTGAGGTTTCTGTGGTTGTGCAAAGCCTCTCAGCCTTTTCCCCTCCCAAACTCCTCACTCCTGTTCCTCTGTCTTCAAATATCCACGGTGTGCCAACCCTGGAAACCTCATAATCTGTCTTTCCACCCTTGATCCTATCAGAACTACAGCTCCCATAATTCCCCATACTGACTGGAGGAGTCTGGGAGATGTAGGCAGAGGGCCGTGTCATTCAGGCAGGCCTTCCACAATTAACAGCTTTCTCACTGTAGGATTTTAATAGGATGGGCTTGTTTTCTTCTTTTTCTCTTATCATCAGTATTTTAACTGAGAGATTTTAAAGTGTCTGATTTCCCTCCCTTTCCCCACTCCTCTGTCCATGTATTTTTTTTAAAAAAACAATTAAACAGAAACCGATTATTGTTATTGTTTTTTCCTCCTCTTTATGATTAAACATTTTAATTCAAAAATACAACAAACCTTAACAACAATAAAAAGCAATCAGATTTTGGAATTGAACATAAAATCATCATCAGGTGCCACTAAGTTAATTCTAACTTATGCCAACGCTTTCCAGGGTTTTCAAAAAGTGGTCTATCCTTTCCTTCTTCCAGTTGTGTCTGGGACTGTGCAGCTTGCCCAAGGCCACCCAGGCTAGCTTTATTTGCCTGAGGCCTGGTGGGGGGATCGAACTCCCAACCTCTGGCTCCATAGCCAGATACTTCAACGACTCAGCCATCCAGCCAGCTATTGGGTGCCATCAATTTGATTCTGACTTATGTCGACTCTTTTCCAGGGTTTTCCAGGGAGAGAATACTCAGAAGCGCTTTATCCTTCCCTCCCTCTAGGGGGAGCCCTGGGATTGTGCAGCTTGCCCAAGGCTACCCAGGCTGGCTCTTTTCCACAGTGGAGGAATCGAACTCTGAGCTCTCCAGCCAGTCGCATAAAAACAGGGAACCGAGGATGATGCTAGCTAGGGAATTTGGCTCGATTTTGCTGTGGAATCACAAAGGGAAACAGACAGGAACCCATCTCACCTTCCCTCTAGGGGGAGTCCTGGGATTGTGCAGCTTGCCCAAGGCTACCCAGGCTGGCTCTTTTCCACAGTGGAGGAATCGAACTCTGAGCTCTCCAGCCAGTCGCATAAAAACAGGGAACCGAGGATGATGCTAGCTAGGGAATTTGGCTCGATTTTGCTGTGGAATCACAAAGGGAAACAGACAGGAACCCATCTCACCTTTCTGTCTGGTGGCAGAGCCTCGTTTTTCGGCCAGTTGTTCCAAGCGGGAGGAGCTGACACTCCGCCGGGTGCTGCCAGAGGACATCCTCTCTGTCCCCGCAAGGCCCTGATCCAGAAATTGGGATGAGAATACAAAATAGGTTCAGCCTCTGGGACTGCTCCTTTAAAGTTTGGAGTAAAAGACGGAGCGCATTCACTATCTCTCCCGCTCCCCGTGCTAAACAGGAAGTCATCCGCTTCTGGACCGACCCGCTGCTGGAAGGGACCCTCTGGATCACCAAGTCCGGGCCCCTGTCAAGGAGGCCCAGTGGAGGATTTGAACTCAGAACATCTGGATCGGTATCCAGACACCTATAAACAACTGAGCTGTCGAGCAGGCTTCAAGGGAAAAATGGTTGACCACATCCTGGGGTAGACTATTGGGGAATCTTACCTTCTCTTGCTCCCTGCTTCGGCGTAAACGCCCCACATCCTCTGACAGCCGCCTTCCTCGGCCATCCTGAGTCCCGGCCGGCTAGAGGACAAAGCATCAAATTATAGGGGGGGAAAAGGACATTAAATGCCAGCTCTAAATCTTGAAATGCTTTAATTTAAACGACCGGCAGTCAATGCTATCCTTTGCCCCGTCTTGGAGAGTTGATATTACTCTAAATAAGGAAGGGATAAGAGGTAAGCAGAAGGGCATTTAGCTTAGCATGCCAAAGCGGGGGGGGGGCTGCCCCACCTTAGAGAGAGCCACAACTAGACACGTTGATGGCTTCCCTGCCCTATTCATTAAACTACTGCAGAGTTTTGGAATTTCTGGTTCAATTCCTCTAGACGTGCAGGCAAGAACAGAGCAGAATAGCTTCAAGGTCCCCAGATTAGTCCACCCCCCATTTCTCCCCCTCTCTTTCTCATTAACTGGCACTTAGAATCTCAACAACTCACTCTTGAGACATTAGGAGGAGAAAGAACATTACTTACAGATTAACAGATCAAACAGCAAAAGGTCCCCAGTCCACCCCCCATTTCTCCCCCTCTCTTTCTCATTAACTGGCACTTAGAATCTCAACAACTCACTCTTGAGACATTAGGAGGAGAAAGAACATTACTTACAGATTAACAGAACAGAGCAGCTTCAAGGTCCCCAGATTAGTCCACCCCCCATTTCTCCCCCTCTCTTTCTCATTAACTGGCACTTAGAATCTCAACAACTCACTCTTGAGACATTAGGAGGAGAAAGAAAAGAACTTACAGATTAACAGATCAAACAGCAATGGCACAAACGTGACTGCTTTTCAGCAACAGACTTCAACGTAAGCTTGCGTTGACATGAGAGTAGCAAACAGAGAGAGAAGATGGAGGGAGGGGAACAAACGCGTGGGTCTGAGTGTCCAGCAGCCATATTTTCCCCCCACATTGAGGCTGCTGGGGATACAGGAAATCGAAAGCGAAGTGTTCAAATGCTGGGATCAAGGTCATTTCTATTGTTGTGTTCCTAGTTAGGAGGTACAGACAGCCAAGAAATCTGATGGGGGGAAGCAACTTATTTGCAGTGTGATGGGGGAAAATCACTCTACAGAGACCATGGACCAACAGAAAGAAAACAACAAAAAGATTCTTGTTAAACTCTAGGTGGAATTCTCATTAGAAGGCAAAACGAGGGTGTCCTATTTCAGGTATATCTTGAGCAGATGAGACCCCACCGGAAAAAGACAATAACTCTGGCAAAAACGGAAGGCAGTAGGAAAAGAGGAAGGCCAAAGGTAAGACGGACCAAACCCATCAAGGAAGCCACAGCTTTTAGCTCGCTGTAAATGATCAGGGATGGGGCACATGCGTCCTCCAGATCAGCGGTCCCCAACTTTGGGTCTCCAGATGTTCTTGGACTTCAACTCCGAGAAATCCGCTTTGCAGCCGGGGAGGAGGGGGAAGAGCTTGTAAAATTGCACTCTTGCTGATGAGCCCACGGCAAAGAACTCATCAGATCATTAAAAGGATCTGGCACGGAAATGGACAACAGGGGGGCGGCGAGTGGAAATCATTTGGCTTCCACCCTCAATGGGGCTTCCTGTGAGTAAATAAGGGAGGTGATAAATGGAGCTAACAACCCTGTCTGTTGCCCAGCCGTCGTAAAGATGTCAGACAGTGCAAGAGAAATGGGACTTGCTTTGTCATCAGGATTGGACATCCTGTGCTCCAAGATCTGTTAAGAGCGCCTTTCCTTTGCTTTCTCCTTTCCGCTCAGTGGTCCCCCGGAGGTGGCTGCAAAGTGCAATTTTAGGATGTATTTGCAGACGTATAGTCTCCATATCCCATCATGTGCTCGCTCTCTTCTGTTCTGCACTGGCTAGGCATGATCAAGAGCACGGGGTTCCAATTCTGGACGCCGCACTTCGAGAAGGATGCTGACAAAACTGGAGCGAGTTCAGAGGAAGGCGATGAGGATGATCACGGGGACTGGAGGAAAGACTGAAAGATCCGGGCATGTTTAGCCTCGAGAAAGGAAGACAGAGGGGAGACAGGATAGCGTTTTTCAAATACAGTGGTGCCCCGCATAGCGAGGTTAATCCGTTCCGGATTAACCTTCGCTATGCGAAAACATCGCTGTACGGGGCAGGAAAAGCCTATTGGAACGCATTAAACTTAGTTTAATGCGTTCCAATAGGCGCCAAAACTTAACCCAGCGATGTTTTCGCTGGTCCGGCGGCCATTTTGGAGCTGCCGATCAGCTGTTCGGCGGCTCCAAAATGGCCGCCAGATGCCCCAATCGTCGCAAAGCGAGTGCGGCGATTGGGGCAGCTCCGTATAGCGATCCCCAAAAAGGGATCGCTATATGGATTCTTCGTTATACGGTGCGCTCGTTAAGCGAGGCACCACTGGTGCCTTGCTAGACGATGATAATCTGTTCCACTGAAATCGCTGTTTAGTGAAATCATTGTCTAGCGAAAAGCATTTCCCCACTGGAATGCATTGAAACCTGTTTTAATGCGTTCCAATGGGGAAGAATCGTTGTTGTCTAGCGAAGATCGGCCATAGGAAAGCCGCTTTGCGAACCGCTGATCAGCTGTTTAAATCGCTGTCTTGCGAAGCTTAGGTCCCAAAAAGACCCGTTTTGCAAGCGCGGAGGGAGCTGTCAAAATCGTCGTCTAGCGAAAATCGGTTTGCGAAGCAGGGACCAAACGTTGTCCAGCGAAATTCCCCCATAGGAATCACTGTTTTGCGAATTGCTGTAGCGATCGCAAAAAGTCAATGTCTAGTGAAAAAACTGTCATGCGAGGTAACTGTCTAGCGAGGCACCACTGTATTTGAAAGGAAGGGCAGGATCTGTTCTTGATCCTTCCAGAAGGCAGGACAATATAATGCGCTCAAGCGACAGGAAGCTAGATTGAGGCTGAAAATCGGGGGAGGGGGGACTTCTCAACTGTTAGAGCAGTACGACAATGGAACTTGTGACCTTGCGAGGTGGTGAGCCCTCCAGGGCTGGAGGCGCTTAAGAGAAAACTGGACAACCCTCTTTCAGATCTGCTTTGACGTGGATTTCTGCATTGGACTCGGTGGCTTTATATTAGCGCCCTTTCAGCTCCATTATTCTATGAGTCTATATCCCAATGACGAACACGTGCAGTCACAGGCATGCCACCCATTTGCATGCAAGCTCCATACAACAGGGCGATGAAGACTCCTGTTGCACCTGATAGGCTGACACCTTTTACGTGGCATGGCCTCTCATGAGCCCACAACCCACGAAAGCTGGCATCAAATAACGTACAACCATCCGTGACAGCACATAGCTATGAATCTTGCCCTACCTTAGGGGCTCCTGCTAAAGTAGGCCAAATAAAACTGATTAGACTTTAGAGTCCCACAGGTCTCTTTGCTATTTTGGCTGCAACAACAAACTGAGGTCCTTCTCCTCACTTCTGGACATTTTGTTTTTCCTTCTAGACTAGCATTGGAGCCTCCGTGTCTTTTCATCAAACCAGGAAAAAATGTAATCTGAGTAATTAGTGGGCTGAAAAAGAGTCCCACAGGTCTCTTTGCTATTTTGGCTGCAACAACAAACTGAGGTCCTTCTCCTCACTTCTGGACATTTTGTTTTTCCTTCTAGACCAGCATTGGAGCCTCCGTGTCTTTTCATCAAACCAGGAAAAAATGTAATCTGAGTAATTAGTGGGCTGAAAAAATTCCCTTATAAGAAAAACTTACCCAACTTTCAGAACTATTTAACTGGGAAGGAATGGAGAATAATAGGTAGAGAAACTGCCAACGGCAGATAAAACTTTGACTTCTCTGCGTCTGTGCAGCCTCGATCTCCATTCAGCTATTGTTTCTCCCGGGCTCTCTTCTCCAAATTATATAACTGAAGTATTAATTTCCTACTTCACAGGATTGTTTGGGGAGATGTACAAGCTCGTTAACATCTGGGCATTCCTTTCCCCCTCCCCTTTGCAATTAAACAATCCAGAGACAAATCTAGCAAGACTTCTCAGACATGATTAAAGAAGGCCTTTGACATGGTTTAAGGTCTTTAACGGAATGGATATCACACCAAATACAAAAGAACTAACGATCATCTCAAGGACCGTGTCTCCCTTTATGAGCCTGCCCCCCCCGGCATTAAAGTCATCAGGAGAGGCCTTTCTCTTTGTCCTGCCACCTGGCTGCTCCCAGACTGTGGAACTCCCTGCCACTGGAGGCCCCAGGCTGGCCCCCTTTCCTTGCAATTTTTGTCTCTCAGTTGCAAGACCTAGAGTTTTGGGTCCGACAGGGCCCCGTAGAGGCCTCTGATGCCCGACCCGTGCAAGGCGGCAAACCGTCAGCCGGGCATTCGAACGGTTTTTCCTGACCCACTCACCTCTGCCAGGTCGCCCCGGCCATGTTGCTTCTTCCACTGAGCCAGCTCCAGGCGGGACACCTCCACGTGGCCCTGTAAACGCCACCGCTCCTGCGCCTTCTCCTGGAGTCGGCTCTCCGCCTGAGCAAGGGCCAGTCTCGACTCTGAACGGCAGGAGAAGAGATGCCATCAGCCCTAGCCAGCACCACCAGGGCTGAAGGAGGATGGGAGATGTAGTCCGGCGACATTCAGAGGGACTCGCGCTTCCCGATCCCTGTTCTTAAAGATTACATTTTCTAGGCCAGGGTGAGCCCTTAGGACATAAGAAAGAAAGGGGGAAAGGGGGTCTCAAAGGAAGAGAGACTGAAAAGCACTGAAGAGTCTCGTTCTGGAGTGATTAAACTGCAGCACTGCCATCAAGCCTCTGCTCACGGCTTGCGTTTGATCCCGACAGGGCTCAGTTAGCCAGCTCAAGGGCGACTCAACCTCCCATCCTTCTGAGGTTGATAAAATGAGTACCCACCCTGCTGGGAGTGAGGGTGGAGCAAAGTGTTCCTTGATTAATTGTGTTGTAAACTGCTGGGGGGGGGGGAAGAACTATAATACTCTATGGAGCAGTACAGTGGTGCCTCGCTTAACAGGTGCCCCATTTAACGATGAATCCGCATAGCAACTATTTTTTGCGATCGCATTGTGATGTTTTTAATGGGAAAATATCGCTTTGCGATGATCAGTAAGCTGTTTCGCTTACTGATTTTCACATAGTGATGATTTCCCAACAGCTGATCGGCGGTTCCAAAATGGCCACTGGGTGAAAAAAGGGGCCACTCGCTGTGTTTTTGCCCGGATTCCTCGCTTACCGGGCAGCGAAAATGGCGGCTGTATGGAGGATTTTCTCTTAAAGGTGAGTTTTTTGCCCATAGGAACGCATTAAAAGGGTTTTAATGCAATCCTATGAGCTTTTTTTTCCGCACAGCGACAAATCCATATAGCGATGATTTTTGCTGCACAGATTATCGTCGCTATGCGGGGCACCACTGTATATAGGTTGAAACAAGAAGAGGGCATTGGAGAGAACATAAGAAAGGTGATAGAGGAGGGCATTTTTTTTTTGCTCTGGCCCACTCGCTGCTTGCATCCAGCCCATAATACATTGCCTCCAGGGGAGATCAGCTTCTCAACAGAAAAAAAAATTGCCCCATCTTTGTCCTAGGGCTCACAGAGAGCCCCTCTCTTGACCTGCGCAATAACCATCATCTTTCATAAAACCAGCAGATTCTCCTTTTTCTTTGTCAACGTGCCAGTCGCATCTTTTTTTAAAAGACTGGCACACTTAGGGAGAGAGTGGTCGTACCTGCGGTCAGGATTAGCTGCCACCCCGCCCCAGCCCATGGCCTCTGAATTTCCAAACTACGATGCCTACATGGCCCGTATTCTCTGTCTTCCAGGTTCTCAGATCCTAAGCATACAAACGGGGTTCACAGGAAGAATGTTAAGGACCTCTGTATTCGTAAAAACAGAAAAGCAAGTTTCTAGTTCTTATGGGGTAAGGAGGAGTTTGGAACAACAACAACTAAAGAGAAACCACAGAACCCATAAATAGGGTACTGTGGATTATGGACATTCCCCGGGGGAATTTTCTTCCACACTTCGCAAGACTTGGGACAGAGGGACTGGCAAGCAATTTAAGAATGTCTTAATGTTTTCCAGCCACCGTCTAATGACAGTCTCAGGAGAAGAAACTTATACAAACAAAAACAACTGCTAGCATGACTCAGTACAAGGAAACCAGCAATGGCAGAGCAGGGGAAAAAAAAACACTTTATAGGCGACTCAAGCTAGTAAGTCAAGTTGCATAGATTAAAGTTTCCAGTACCTTGGTTATCAGCCTTCAGCTCCTCTCCTGTCGAGGCCAACTCTGATGCCCCCGACTGGGCTCCGTCACCCTTTCCCGTGGGATCGGGGCTATCTCTAGGGCCGCTTGGAAAAGCAGCTTCTTCCGACGGCATGTCCTTCGTGCAGGGTTCTCCAACTGGAGGGCTGCTGCACTCCGTCTTCTGGAAGGAGAATCAAGATGATGGGAACTTCACGGTGCAGAAACAGCTTTTAAAACCTTAGCCCAATTAAGCAATTAGCAGGCCGAGCAGGTGTTTCTTATACTCACAGGTGTTCCAGCTGCAGGGATTCTGCCATTATCCGTTTTAGTGTCAACTGCACCTGCAGGACAGAGGGAGACTAGATCTGATTCATTCCTATCAGTTTAATCTACCCCACGGTGACGGTTATGTTCTTATTTACCTTTCAACCAGAACCAACTTACAGCAACCTTAAATGGGCTTTCAAGGTAATTGAGAAATTTAAGGAGTGGTTTTACCAGCTCTACCCCATAGCGGAGCAGAGATTCGAACCCAGGACTCTGTTCACTTTCTCTATTCACTACCCCACACTGGGCATGGTGGTTATTACAGCAGCCATAAAAACCCATAAAATCAGTCTGCTGCAGACCACAAGCCCTGCTAATGGTGACAGTAGCTCCTCCTTCTGTTAAAGCTGCATTTTCTCCTTCTTAAGGACTAGAAATGTGAAAACTGTAAGCAAAAGGGATGGTTGTAGCCAACTGGCAGACAACCAGGAATGAGAGCGGCAACGTTTTGATCAAGAGAAATCTACTGTTGTGTTTTACCTAATTCTGTGCACACTGGTGTACGTATATCTCAAGAATGCTTCTGGCCAATTTTTTCCTACGTTTATACGTATTGATATCGCAAGTTCTGCGATTTCGCAATGCGCTGTGATTTAATAAGGTTGGCTTTTAGCGGCAACTTATTTTACTCCATGAGCTGGGAAGTTTCTAACATGGATTATTTGTAAAGGCCAGAATCTGACTGCCAATTCACCGTTTGCATAAAAGAAAACATATTCGATTTCAGTGGCAAACCACTGCTCACGGTTGAAGGGCTAGTTACACTCCTACCTGCGCACACAATTGGGGGACACAGTCAAGAACACACCCAGCACCTTGTCAGAGAGGATCTGCACCCCTGTATTCATTTACGAAGTTTACAAACACTTGCATCTTGTCTCACCCCTCTCTGAAAATTGGTTGCACCATGGCTTAAGTTTTTAGACTATGTTTTTGCTATTTACCTTATTTTTCTGTGTATAAGACACCCCCATGTCTAAGACGCCCCTTCACTTTTCTAATCCAAATTTAAGTAATCTCAGTGGGGCTTAGCAAGTGTGGGGGGAAAGGGATCAAAGCGCTGCAGGATCGCTTTGATCCCTGCTTTCCCCTCCGCTTGTTTTTGTTCTCTCCTCAGCCTACTTCCGTGTATAAGACGACCCTCAATTTTTAGTCTAAAGATTTTAGACAGAAGTACAGTGGTGCCTCGCTAGATGAATATAATCCGTTCCACTGAAATCGCTGTTTAGCGAAATCATCATCTAGCGAAAAGCATTTCCCCATTGGAATGCATTGAAACCTGTTTAATGCGTTCCAACAGGGAAGGATTGTCACTGTCTAGTGAAGATTGGCCATAGGAAAGCCGCTTTGCGAGCCGCCAATCAGCTGTTTAAATAGCTGTCTTGCAAAGCTTAGATCCCGAAAACACCTGTTTTGCGAGCGCGGAGGGAGCTGTCAAAATCATTGTCTAGCGAAAACCGGTTTGCGAAGCAGGGGCCACACATTGTCCAGCGAAATTCCCCCATAGGAATCACTGTTTTGCGAATCGCTATAGCAATCGCAAAAAGTCAATGTCTAGCAAAAAAACTCTCATGCGGGGTAACTGTCTAGTGAGGCGCCACTGTATACATGGAAAAATACGGTATGTTGTATACTTCTGTGCAGTTTGTTTTAACAGTCGGTAAATTGCTCAGATGTTGCTCCAGAACAAACAGGGCAGACTATAAAATCAAAGCACTAAATGAACGAATGAACGAGGTGTCAAGATCTGCTATCAAGATTCGTGGGATTACGCAAGTGCAAATCGGCAATAGGATCCGGGCCTGTCTGTTGTCTTTAAATAGTTTTCTAAAAATCTAATCCCCCAAAATCTGATTTCCCGCCCGATGAAGTCGGAGACACTGCCCCGGACCGTCTTCCTGTGACGGCCGGTGGCTAATCCATCTCCATCTGCCAAAGCTTCTTATCCCCAGGAGCCGGGCGTGGGAAGGGGTGTCGCTTTGGCTCACCCTGGCCTAAGAAAACCCCAGCTGACCGTTTCCTCTTTGGGCGCCTTACCTTCAGCCCACGGCGTGGGAGATCCCCAACGAGGGGGCAGGAGAACCGGGTGGGATTGAGACTGAAGTTTTTCCAGCTCTACCTGGCACCTTTTGGGGCGGGAGCAGAGAGAAAGAGACAAAGTCAAGAAGCTGAAGATTTAGACTGCTCAAATAAACCTTCCCATTTTTAAAACGTTTCCCTTGTTACGCATTCAACGAGAGATATAGTGCAGTTGACTGTCCCCACCCACCTGGTACCTCTCAGATGTGAGGGACTACAAGTCCCAGAATCCACCACCTAACAGAGGCGAGGGATTCGGAGAATTTAAGGCCCACACCCCTGGAAGGCACCGGTTTAGGGTAATTGCTAGTAGTCTGGACTCAAAATGCGATGGGATGTGTTTGTAACACCATCGTCTCTTAGATTAGGCCTCCCTTACCAGAGTGGGGGAGATTGTGCAGCTTGCCCAAGGCTACCCAGGCTGGCTCTGCAAGAGGCACAGGGTGG